TTTCATCTGTTTAGTATAATTTTCTTTCCCCAAAAATTCATCCCTATTTCAAATTTCCATATTTCTGTCATGAGTACCACCATCCTTCCAGTTACCTGAGTTCACAACTTGATGGCATCCTCAATACCTTACTTTCTCTTCTAGCATTCATCTCTTTATCTCTACTTACACAACCACCCCCTAAGTTCAGATGCTTATCATCTCTCCCTGGGTCTATATTTCAACAGCCTCCTGATTGTTTTTCCCTCTCCAATCCATCTTCTACAAAGTTGCCAAAATAATCTTCCTAAGGTATAGCTCTAGCCATGTTATTCTCCTGCAAGAAAAATTGTGGCTCCCTAATCCATTCAGAATAAAATACAAAATCCTTATTCTTGTCTTGTAAACTAACTTTTCTAACCTTATTACATATTGTCCTCCTCGACATATTTACTCTATTATCTAGCTGAACTGAACTCCTAACTGTTCCCTGATCTCAACATATCACCTTCTACCTTGAAGCATTCATACCAGCTTTATAACCAGTGCCTAGATCCCATTCCCCATCTTTGTCTTTGAGCATCCTTATCTACTTTTGTTGTTGTTTGTCCTTTCTTCTGAAGAGGACCATGACATTGGGAAGGTGATGTCATGACTTGCAAGTAAATTGGATTTAAGTGAGGGAGGGCTGTGCAAAGTCACCAGCCTCACTTTCTCCTCCAAAGCCATCTGGGTCCAGTGGCCAGATATAAATTAGGACAACTGGAGATGGCCCCCTATCTACTTTTAGGACTCAGCTTAAGTGATACTTCTTCCTTGAAGCTTTCTCTCCTACCTTCAGCTATTTTCTCTTTCTCCTCAAAATTTCCTGAAGTTTTTTTTCCATTCTGTCTCCCATGCTCCTCAATTCCCTTTCCCTCTATTTAAATGTAGGTTGTATTACTCCTTCTTTACAACAACTTTCTTGAAGACTATTTCACATCTGTCTTTGTATACTAAGTATGAAACTTAGGGCCTTACACATAGTAAACAATATTTTTTTTTTTATTTAATTGCTCCACCCAGAAAACGTTTCCTCTTTGCCTTCAGACCACACCAGGCTCTGCAGAGTTGAAGCTATGGGCTCCACCTGAAATGCCTGCCCCTGTTTCTTTTGTACTTAACAAAATCCCACCCATCCTTCAGATCTATTTAATTCTCATTGATCTCTCTCACCTCTGATGGCCCAGGGCACATATTCCTTTTACCATTCATTTGGGCTCTTTGTCACCCAATGTCTTGAACTGTTAGTTAAATGTCTCATACACATGTAACTTGTGTCCCTAATTAGATCTTGAAGATATGGGCTATGTGCTATCCACAATTTTTGTACTCATGCTTTTAGTACAGAGTCATTACTCAATAAAGACCTGCTAAATGAATGAATGAATTAAAAAGTCTTGCCATGGCCTCCTAAGACCTCAGGGGTAAACAAGGTCTAAACCACACAATCTGAAACACAAATCTCACTTGAAGGTGGCTCTTCCTGGACCATCAACCGGACTAACTAAATCTACTGTATAGGATCTGATGTCCTTCTCCCCTGCTAAGAAAAGGGAAAATGGTATCAGGCACAAACACTTTAATATAAAGAGTCAGCTGTGTGTGACTGAAGTCACATTCAGGTTAGACCAGTTGGTTCTCTTTACCCAAGCTGGAGGGTTGGCCTATATTTGGTGCCATACCAATACCTTAAACAAAGAACAGACCTCCTATTGTGTGGAGGGAATCCAGGTCTCTCAAGCAGAAGAGAAATGGTCCCATGCGGAGTCAGCACCTTTGGCAACAACAGCTCAGGGTGAATTCCCTGATTCTAGATAAAGAAATGACAAGCTTAGACTTCACCATGTTCAATGTGTCTGCAAGCGATGTAATCTGGGATAAAGATCAACAACTGACCAGATTACAGCAGTATTTAATAAAGGCATATGAAAATAACATTAAGAGTCTGGGTTTTCTATTGGGAAGATGTAGATTCCATTCTAGACAGTGAATCACTTCCATAAAAACTCTCTGAATGTGACCTCAAGTGTCTTAACTCATGTAGTGTCTGGTGCCAAGAACGAAGTCACAGAGCTAATTCTCATAAGAGTACCATTTGCAAAGTAACATCACACCTTCTAGGTAGAATGCAGAAAATGCTTCTAAGCCTTAATGTTCACTGAGGACAAATGGTTCCTTTGTGCTCAGAAATTACATTAGAGTATGCTGCTCTATCAGACATTCTGAAAGAGATTAAAAAAAAGGGAGAGAGATTGAGAGAGAGAGAGAGAGAGAGAGAGAGAGAGAGAGAGAGAGAGAGAGAGAGAGAGACTCTTGAAAAGCTAAGAAAACTAGGCAAAGATATGTATGGCCAAGTTCTCAAAAAACTTGTCATTTTGAGTTTTTCTTCCCTGTTAAGTGAAGATTTTTACCTTACAGTCTGGAAGTCACTGCTCAGTCAGTAAGCATTTATTCAGTATCTACTATGAGGCTATAAGTGCAGCTAGGTGGTGCAGTGGATAGAGCATTGGGCCTGGAGTCAGGAAGACTCATCTTCCTGAGTTCAAATCTGGCCTTAGATATTAGCTGTGTAACCTTGGGCAAGTCATTTAACCCTGTTTACCTCAGTTTCCTCATCTGTAAAATGAGCTGAAGAAAGAAATGGCAAACCGCTCCAGTATCTTTGCCAAGAAAACCCCAAATGGCGTCATGAAAAGTTGGATACAACTGAAATGATCAACCAACAACAAAAATGGGACTACAAAGAGAAAACAGAAATTGTCCTTGACCTCAAAAGAGCTTACATATGTTTGGGGGAGATTACATATATGTAGGCACGTAGGTGGCTGGACTTGGATTCTAGAAGACGAGTTCAAATCCAGCCTCTGACACTTAACAAGTTATATGACTCTGGGCAAGTTAAATGACTTATTTGCCTCTTGTTTGCCTCAGTTTCCTCATCTGAAAAATGGAGAAGATAATAGGACGTACCTTCCAGGGTTGAGTGAAGATCAAATGAGATGATATTGGTAAAGTGCTTTGCAAACCTAAAAGTGCTATATAAATGCTAGCTATTATTATATAAGTATATATGAAATAAATATCGGTTAATTTTTTTTTTTGCAGGGATAACACTAGCATCTGGGGGGAGATGGGATGGATAAAGAAAGCCTTACTGTACAACAGAGATTCTTAACTTTATTCATATCATCAACCTCTCCGGCAGCCTAGGGATCACTATATAACTTAAGGAAATGCTAAATTTCTGTTGGAGTTTAGAAATAGAGGAGGGCTTTTGGGCCTGAATCCAGAAGGAAATAATGAATTCTAAGAGGCAGAGGTGAGGGAGGAGGATACTCTAGACATGGGAAAAAACCAGTTCAAAGGCATGGAGATAAAAGATGGAGGACAGTGTGAGAGGAATAGTAAGAAGCCTTGCTCTGGTGGACGATAGCGAGGGAAGCGCTGTCATGTAGAATTAGGTTGAAAGGGAATGTGGAGGCCATATTGTGAAGGGAAGTTTCTATTTGATCCTAGAGGCATTGGGGAACTATTGGAGCTTATTAAGTAATGGAATGACATGGTAAGAACTGCCCTTTAAAAAAATCACTTTGCCACTTGAGTGTAGGATGATGGATTGAAGAGGGGAGAGACTTGAGGCTAAGACACTATTTACAAGGCTATTGCAACGGTCCTGGTGAAAGGTGATGACTGTGTGCTTCCAGGAAAAGAGACCACTGGCAGATACAGAGAAATAAGGTAGGAAATTTGTTGACTTCCTGGGAAAGGAGGAGAGAAGATGACACATACCCTCCCTCTACTTTCAACTAAATCTCAGCAGGCCCTATAAAACATGAAGAAAAGAGAGCTAAGAGAAACAGGAGATGGGGCAGGTAAAGTGAGGATTTGATCTTGTATTTCTATTTCAATTTTTCATTTTACAAATAAACTAAGAAGCATGAACTGAATTATACAGGGCCTTCTTTTTCTTGGAATAGTTTTATTCCTAGTCAGGAGATTAACCATAATGTAAAGAAAGTTCTCAAGGAAAGCCAACACTCATTGAAAAAACAAACTGGATTCTAGAGTGGGAAATGAAACCCCAAACCCTGTAACTTACTAGAATACCAAATACCTAGAAGGGGTGGGGAACCTGAGGCCTCAAGGACACATGTGGCCCTCTAGATTCTCAAGTGAGGCCCTCTGATGGAATTCAAACCTCACAGCACAAATCTGTGTGAAGTCTGGATTCCATCGAAGGGCCTCACTTGAGGATCTAGAAGCCACATGTGGCCTCGAGGCTGCAGGTTCCCCACAAAACAAGTTATAGGGTAGAGAAGTAAGGTAGGGAGCAGCAAATGTATAGAGGTTATAGACATGGGAAGTTGGGTGTGGTTTATTAGCACAAATCCCTTTGGGACCACATTAACTCTATCACCAAAGCCTCTTTTTTAAACACCATCTACACAATCCTTCTCACCCCTTCTAATTTCCTTTCTATTGATATATGCTCTTATCTTCCCCTCCCTATGTTTAGATATGTAGTTAATTCAATTCAATATTTGTTAAATATTTACTATGTGCCAGGTATTGCGCATAGGAGTAGTGATGTAAGGATGAAAAAGTCAGTCTTTGTCCTCGGAGGGTTTATAGTCTAATAGATGCTTATACATATGCAAACGGTGCATTGAAAATACATGGACAGTTATAAATACACATATGAGATCACTGCATAACTATATAAACACATACGTATACATTGATTACTATCAACATTCCTACTTACATAGCATTTGAAGGCTTACACTTGTCTCATACTTATAAAGTAGTTAGTGTTAGGAATCATTGTTTCCATTTTACAGATGAGGAAGCTAAAGCTCAGATGAATCTGGGGACTTGTCTCCTCACACAGCTAGTAAGTACTAAAGCTGATTCCAATTTCAGACCACTTTTTCAGCTCTGATGAATCACCCCCTTCCTGATCATTTTACATCGCTTACCTTCTCCCAGTGTCCTTTGCAGCAAATCATGTTTGGCTTGAAGCTTTGTAATGAGATTACTGCCTTCCAGGTATTCTCTGAATTTCTGCACAAGAGAAGATTGATTTTCAAAAAAAAAAAAATTACCACAAAAAGTCAATATTTTGAAATAAATGTCCTTGCGTTATCTCGACTGGACCTTATGGCTCGGGAAATGAATGACGTACCATGAAGTAGAACTGTTCAGTTTCCTGCTGGTTGGCTCTTCTTTTAGCAATGCTGGGTTTACTCAAGTATGTTTCTGAGACGGTGGACTTTACAGACTCCGTGGACCGACTATGCTGGAAGCATTCTGAGACATCATAATCCTCAATGGTGACCATGTCTTGTATTGTTTGTAAGGTGGCTTCGGTTGTTTTCTTAACCTGGGGACACAAAGACATTTTATTTATCTCTCAGGAAGGAAACACCAACCATGACAAAAGTGACCTCAGGTACTATGTAGTGGGGTGAAGAGATTAGGAAATGACATGAAGAATTAAGGCAGACAGAAGTAACTGGACTGTACTGTATTTGAGACACGGGCAATGAAACAGCATGACGTAGCTGAACAGAACCCCCTAAAGACCCAGCAGATTAAGAATTAGGAAATCTGGGTACTAGTTCTGGCTGCCCTACTAACTAGCCATGGGCTCTGGTGAAAGTTGCTTAATTTCTCATCTCTATATATTTAAGAAGGAAAGAGACTTCAGCTATCAGATGTGGGTAACCCATTGATTACACTCAAGGCAGGGTGGTGCAGTGGATAGAGTGCTGGACGTGGAGTCAGGAAGACCTGAATTCTAATCCTGCCCCACTCTTTGCATTAATATACAAATGGAAGAAGGTCATAGGAATGTCACAGTCATCTCCTTTAGTTTCTTAGTCATACGTGTATATCAACAACAGCTCCTCACATTTGCATAGTTCTTAATGGTTTGAAAAGTGCTTTTCTCACAATAACTCTACTGAGTATGACTATGCTGGTTTTATAGTTGAGAAAACTCAGGTTCTGAATGGTTAAATGACTTGTCCATGGTTATATAGCTAATGAGAGGTAGGATTTGAACCCAAGTCCCCTGACCCCAAGTGAAGAGCTCTATTCCTCAGACCAGTGGTTGGCCATCTTTTGTCTCAATTTTTAACCAGTAGTGACAAACTTAAGTAGAAGAGAGGGCCACATATTGACTTCGATAAAATTAGGTTTTAAAACTATGTTTTATTATATTTTTGTTATTAAATATTTCCCAATTACATTTTAATCTGGTCCAGACTGCACTGGAGAGTGTTGTAGGGTGACACCTCTGTATTAAATTAAGGGCTTTCTATAAACAATAATAATTATTTGGTTTTTTATTATATTAACCTGCATATATGAAACATAGTCATTAACACATCTGTATATATAACATATATATATATATGTATAAATACACACATACACACACACACACACACAAGTAAAGATAAGTTTGATATACAATTTCCCTGTCATTAACTGGAACACACATATTCAACACGTATATATAAATGCACATTTAAGTATAATACCTAAATTCCTATTTTAATGCCCCATTTTACCATGAAGTTGACATCTTTTTTAGTTTATTTTGGTTTTTTTTCCTTTTTGGTAAGGCAATTGTGGTTAAGTGACTTGCCCAAGGTCACACAGCTAGTAAGTGTTAAGTGTCTGAGGTTGGATTTGAACTCAGGTCCTCCTGACTCCAAGGCCAGAGCTCTATTCACTGTGCCATTTAACTGCCCCGACATCTTTTATTTATTTTAAAAAGATGTTCTGCGGTGTTCTTGAATGCTATGCTTTCAGAGTATAAACTCAGCCAAATCCTACCAAGCTAGAAAGATGTCAAGGATGGGCCCAGTAACGGACACAATATATATGTATATATAATATATTTATAGCAATATATAAAGTATATTTATAATATATAATATTTAAATATTAAATCTTAATTTTTAGATTAACATAAAATAAACATATGTTTATATATCTAGTTATATATGTTAAATATATCTTATAAATGACAGACAATTGACTGGTGTTGAGGTAAAGCCCAGCTGAGGTCACAAGCTCATTAATGAGTAGGTAGCAAAGTGATGTACTTTTTGGTTATAGAAATTCTCAAAGATCATTTATTTACATTGATGGATTCACATTGGTGGAGAATGTGCGTTCCCCATTCCTCCCCCAAAATACAGATCCTTAAAGACTTAAACTCTCTGTGCATGTGTAAACACACACATAATGATATACCATAATAATGTAATATCACATAATATAATGCAGCATTTCCCTCAAAAGGCTGCTAGACCCTGGAACAGATGGTTTCTAAGCTACTACCAGGTTATAAAATTCTATGCTTTTAAGATAGTGATTTTGAGAGGCAGTGTGGCTGGGTTGGCAGAAAAGTAGATTCAGGAAATCTTGAGTTCAAACCCCAACTTTGCCACTTACCAGCCATGTAACCATTGACAAGTCACAGAACCTCTCTGAGTCTCAGTTTCTTCTTCTGGGAAAAGAGAATAATGCCAGGAACACCTACATCTTCACTATTATTTTGAAAAGATGTTCTGTGGAATATTCATATATACATACCTGCACATACAAACGTGCACTTACTTACATGACATTTTAGAGATTTTTCAGTTTACACCTCTTCCCTATGAGCCTAACTGACCTTGCTGACTCTGCAGGACAACTGAATCGGCTGTTTAATCCTGAATTGTCCAGTTGAATACAAGATGGGACAGAAATGTGAGATGGTTTGCCTTGTGCTGCAAAGTACTGTCCCGTGGGATAGTCTGAACAAAGAAGCACACCAAACTTACACAGAAAAGCCATATTTACAAGTCACAGGAGAAAAAAAGGACGAAACAGCTCATATAGCGCTCCCGGCAACTCCTCATTAGCAGTGGAAATGAGAAGCCTTTACTTTGTGGCTGGAGACACAAACGTCTCAAGAAGGAAGATATCAAGACCTCCCAATAAGTTTAAAGACTAGGACACACTCGAGGTCAAATGCACTACTAGGCCACACATTAAGAAGAATAACATATACACACACACACATTTTTTTTTAACAAACAAGCATTTATTTTCTCTCCCTCCCATCTCCTCTCACCCCCAACAGGGGGAAAAAAGAAAAATTAAGCTCCTGTAACAAATACGCATAGTCAAGCAGAACAAATTCCCACAGTGGCCATGTTCAAACATATACATCTCCTTCTGCATCTTGAGTCCATCACCTCTCTGTCAGGAGGTGAGCAGCATTCCTCTGCCATCATGGCTGGTCATTATACTGATCAGAAATGTAATGCTGTTTATTTTTACAATGTTATTATTGCATAAATTGTTCTCTTGGGGAATAATCATTTTGGAAAGCTGCTGCAAGTTGCTGGGCCTTTTTTCTTTCTTCAGAAAGCAGGAAGAGGAATCTCCAAAACTGATGGCTCATCCACTCCAACCACCTCTTCAATGTCCCAAGAGAAAATGTCCATAAGCTGATATCCCCCTCTTCTCAAGTGGTATTTGCCCCCAGAAATACTGAGAGACAACATCTTCATGGGCTATGATTTTCTGAATGGATATATCCTTTATGAGAACTTCCATTTCCTTGGATTTACATACTTTTCATAGAAGTCGAGAGTTGGAAGGGAGACATTTAGTTCAATCCATATCCCTAATGAAACCCAAAAGGTGATCTTCCAACCTCTTGCTTGAAGACCTCTATGGAGGGTGAACCCACCACCTCTTGAGACAGCTCATTTCACTTTTCGACCATTCTTAATTAGGAAGTTTCGCCTGATATAATTTCCTCTTTACAACCATTACTGACCATTGCTCTTCGGTCTCTCCTCTGGGACCATACAGAACAAATCTAATCTCTCTTCCATGAAGACCATCAAATACTTGAAGACAACTATCATGCCCCCCCGAGTCTTCTCTTCTCCAGGCTTAACACCACTAGGACCTTTTAATGATTCTCATGTGATATGGACTCATGTTGCTTCCTTTATCAATCTGCTTGTATCCATCTGGACCCTCTCCAGTTTATCAAATTGCTTCTTATACTGTGGGACCTGGAACTGGATATAATATTCTGGATGGGGTCAGACGAGGGCAGAATATAGTGAACGGAACTATCATAATTTATTTCTAGAAGCTGTACCTCTCTTAATAAAGCCAAGATGACATTAGCCACATCATACTGCTGCCTCCTGTTGGGTTTGCTGTTCACGGAAACCCCTAGTTCTTTTTCAGACATGTGAAGTTGATGATTTTCTACCCAAATGAGTAGTGAACTCTCTCTCACTTTATATTCTACATATGTACATATACATATATATACACATACATACATAGCTACTCCCCCCCCATACATCCTAACTGAATTAATCTTATTTGATTTAGCCCACAGCTCTAGCCTGCCAAGATCTTTCTGGATCTTGACTCTCAACCAGTGTGTTAGGTAATCCTCCTAGCTTTTTTATAATCTGTAAATCTGATGCCATACCATCTATGCCTTCATCAAAGGAATTGATAAAATGCTCAACAGTACAGATCCCTGGGCTTTTCCACATTAACAGTGGACCATTAACAGTGACTCTTTGAGTTCAGTCATCCACTGAAATTCTGCATCCGACTAACTGTATTATCCTCTAATCAATATCTCTCTATGTTCTCCACAACAATAGTGTATGATATTTTACTATAAGCTATGCTGAAATTTACTCAGATAGCATTCCTCTTATCTACCAGTTCAGGAATCCTATTACAAAAGGAAATTAAGTTAGCCTTGAAGGACTGGTTTTTGGTGAAGCTATGTTGAAACACACACTCTCTCTCTCCCCCCTGTCTCCCTCCACACATATATAATTACATAGTTATATAATTTTATATATATACATACATATATACACACACACACACACACACACATACACACTTATACAGTTATAAAGATTATATGTATGTTAAATTAATTACATATAGCAAATTAATTTGGGCCAAAACTGATGGGCAAAGAGAACCTAGTCATGGGGGAAATCATACTCTCAGATAATCGAAGTATTTGTCTCTAGCTTCCTCTTCTATTCCATGTAGGGAAAGGTAGGTAAGAAGAGCTCAGAGAAAGGAATGGAAATCTATATGGAATCACCTGAGCAGTAAGCTTTGAAGGAGGTCAGTCCCAGGAATGACTCCCCATGATAGCGAGCACAGAGAGGTAAGTGGTCAGCACCTCTCTGAAAATCTACTTTCTTTAACCCATTAATGGTCTTTTCTTTTTCAAATTTGCATCATTTCAAAAAAATATTTTTTAAAAAATGATGCATCTTAAATTTACTAATTTATTGTAAATTTGTAGGT